ATGAGTGTCATTTCTGGCATGATGTGTCATTTCTCAATTGCATGAGTTTGCCGCTCACATGGTATAGAATAAACACGTACGTTCACTCGCAGCAAACCCCACTCAAAAGTATTTTCGATCACGGGACGACCGCCATGCTATTTGTTCCCTTTGTCCCACGATACCACTAGTGGGTCGTCACGATACCACGTCAAATATCACTAGTGGACCCGGCAATGCTTCGTTATTTCAACGTATTACACTTCACACACTACTGGTCACGTGATTGTTAATCACGTTTTACGCTAAGCTCTGAAAAAATATTATTCGATGAAACACTTTCTCCCGAGAATAAGTTTGTTTTATGTCCAAATTTGGATATGGTTGACAAATATCCTTTGTTAATATGTTCTCCCTCCAGTTTGGGCATGCATTCGCTACGACACTGCTTTGGAGAAATTTGATTTACTTGCTCGAGATAACGTTCAAGTAATAATTCCGGCCAATATTTCTGGTAGAATTCTTGATACACGAGCTCCCTAGTCCACGCCTAGCGCTGAATAGCACGGCCCGTTGCGATACTTAGGTTCGACTCGGAACGGCACATATCCATTTTTACAAGGCCACCATCAACCACCTCGTACCTTCAAAACATTCGTAGTATTTCTCGTGGCATTCTTTGAAGCGTTATGTTCATGCCAACAGTTGGTAGGTCCTTTTAAGCCATTACGTAGCCAGAGCCCCCCCTCTCCCCACACCCCTCGCTGTGGAATATCAAAAAACATGCGAGTGTAAAAAATCTCATTTTACTTTTACTAAACAATCTACACATGCGTGTATTGTTTATTGTGTCACTATTCGCATTTCGTGACATTGAAAATATTTGTGCATCGTGGACACTACATCCTAAGTCATTCAATTTCATATCGACAAGAGGTTTTGTCACTCATTTGATAGAAAGCCATCATTGAATTATGTATGGTCCATGTATGTATATTTATTGTAATATCTCAATTAAAGAAATTAATTAAATTGAGAAAACGCTCTTTCTCGAGATTCGACCAGTAATCGATGTAAAAATCTCGGGATACAACAATAGAATCAAGAGTGGTTGCTGACATTGCTTACAGTTATATCGAGCTTTTTCTTAAAAAAAATATATATAATCATCCGTTTACTTTGTTGGAAGACTATGGATCTCGTGTAAGAATTTTGAGCATAGGAAGATATGTACAATAGATATTCCAAAATCATTTTCAAGTAAATCCACATTTAACTCCGTCGAGTTAAAATTGATTTTATTTCTAACACAAATACAAAAACCTCCGTATGAAGGATCCTTATTCAATTCCCTTTTTTTAGTATGCAAGATAGAAATGTGGAAAATGCTACGGTTTGGCCGCTATCGTAGCCCAGAAATGGACGCACAAACAAACGTTTTACCGCAAACCAATTTTTCAGTATCACTCAGGAAACGTGGATTCTAACTAAGAGAAATAGAGAAAGTAATGTACTACGTACATGAACAAGAATAATCCACCTTTAGGTATCAGGTACCCATAAAACTACTTCTGACAAAACTTCGCCTCTCGTTTTTTAGAGCATTGCAACACTTTCTATACACTATGTAAATAGTATGAAAGAAAGAAAATTAGTAGTGCACATACCTCAGTACTATTCTCGTTTCATAAAGACGGGAAGTAAAAGAAAAGCTACAGTCCTAAAAGACTTTTCGCGCTTCTGTACTGAAGATAGAAATTTATTTTACGATGTAACCTACTTTTGAATATCAGAACAGTAAGTTGGAGCATGTACTAGTATTGAAATTTTAGTGTTTTGGGATAAATCGTGAGAACTGATTTGTTTTTACAAATTCTTATATAAGAAATCCTAGTATGCTACGAGTTTGGCGTGGAACGGTGGAGATGGGCCTGGTTCAATGATCTATATATTAGAAGTATTTAAAAAAAAATAATGGGTATATTCACGCAAAGCGTCTCCTGGCTCCTAAGAGCGTTGAGCGCAACTTGAGAGTAATCCTCCGTTAATTGTTATTATAGGAGTAATCCTTTATTATACACCCAGCACCCTGTAGGGACCGCTGGGTAGTCAAATCACGTGAGTCGCAGTCAAGTCAGGGAATCGTCGATAGGTAGCGTCTTCGCGCTCGAGTCATCTACCTATCGGCCAGAACTGGGAAGGAATAAAGATAGGGGTAAGGTTTCAAAACGGTTGGACTTACCCCTGTGAAGCATGCTAACTCGTTTTGTAACATATTTCACACGAGGTTCTACGGGGATTCTACGGCAATCGAACCCGGAACCTCAGTGGCAAGCGACTTCGCCACGAGTTGGTTCGATCCCCAACCATAGGCTAAGACCGAAACCTGCCTTCCTCGGAAAATCTCAAAACAGACTATTTTCCGATGCAACATACACTGGGTAAGCCTGAAACGCGGCAAATTGAAAACGTTAGCTCTTGGAGAGAAAAAGAAACAAGGTTTTGATAAAGAAAATTAAAATTGGGAAAACTCAAGTGTATGACACCATAAAAACAAAGCCAAGAATGGGTGGTTAAAAGAAATGTTTATGTGCGGTGGCCACAATATTGACTAGTCCCTATACTACGACTTATGCTTATCTGCCCCAGGCAGTTATCAGCTGTTGACGGTTTCATCCAATCGGGAGCTTGAACATAACCAAAGTGAACATCACTTTAGTGACGGTTCAAGCTCCCGATTGGATGAAACTGTCAACATCTGATACCTGCCCAGAGCAGAGTTGCGAAAGCCAGAGTATAGGCGAATGGTCGAAGCCTAAATCCTCAGATGAATTTATCTGTTCCTACAACTATTGAATAAAATAATATTTATTTTACTTGTATTATATAGTGCTTCTGCGTTTTCATTAGACTTGGTGTTGCGTTTCTGTGTGTCATTTTCTTGGTCGCTCTAGCGACGTCTTCATTTCTTTGAAATGTAGTTTTTAGATGAAATAAACTACTCATTCAATCTCTTATTATCTTTGAATGATTGCGTTTTCTGAATTAATTTTTATTGCAAACCTGAATAAGGCGGAAAAAACTGGACAAGACCGAATAAAATGTTAATAAAATTGTCATATCACCGTAATATTAGGGTATGGCCCGATTAGTTTATTGTGATATATGAACTCTAATACTTCAATTGGTGATGAATTTTATTTGAGAAATTTTGTCATTATATTTAGTTCATCTGCAAGTGCAAGTTCTATTGCTTTCATATTTTTTTGGACTATCTGCAATAGTTTCTTCCGTTAGTTTAAATTATAGATCCAAACAACTTTTTTAATATGTCTGATTTCCTAATTTCTGCTAGTTTGTTGATACTAAATTAAACGCATCACTTTGCTCTTTATGCAACTGAAAAATTTCCTCTTTAGATGAAACTGTAGTGTCGATAATAGTGGTCTGTATGGAAACGCGGGTCATACGGTATGCGGAAATTGTCTTTTGAATCATTTGTAGTGTCATCATGTTTATAACCGAACGTAGTTGTTTTTTTTACCTACGTATAGGCGGGGAGAAATCTGCATTTACATCATATATATAAATTATATCTGCATTACTACCTATAAAAAAGGGTCTTCAATGCTGAATCAAGAAAGGCTAAGGTTGTATTTTGCTGGAATTTACCCAATGAGTAATAAATGACAAATTAATATTAGTTCTGAAGAATAAAGCAAAAAATTTGTTCAAGTGAGTGAGCTCACTTTCATTTGTTTAGTGATAACAGAGAATGAAGGATTGTTTCCCAAAGTTGCAAAAATCTAATGGTCATACTGTGTCCTGCAAACCTCCATATCTGAAAAACCATTTTACCTACGAATCCAAAGAAGTTCCTTTGAGATATGTGGGAATACACGTTTTGGGGGCCCCTGATACTGAAAAAGTTTTTTACCAAAATGCCCGTTCGTCCGTTAACAACTCTAACTCCGAAACTATTCATAGAATTATTTCCAAAATGAATTCTATCTGGCTGGATTTGAAGTTTTGTAATATTGAAAAACATTCTTGACATTTTTTTCAAAAATGGCTCGAAATTTTTTCTTTAAATTTCTTGTAAGCTTAGAGTGAAATACACTTATAAATATAGCAGAGTTTGTATTTTCACTGTTAACTCTAAAATTTCGAAAACTGCAAAAGTATGAAAATTTTCGGCGTCTTCCTACAACTTTAAATTTTTTGAACATTGCAGTAGTGATAGCATAATTTTGAGTCAAATAAGGCAAATATTAAAAAACCCACGAAAAGCAAAAATTTCTCGAAAAACGGCTCCAAATGTTTTCTTTAAACTTTCGGAGAGTGCTGTATTCACTCCGAACAGAATAAGATGACATAAACGCCATTTTGCTCTTCTCTTTTGTTTTTTTTTTTATTAAAATAAAATACACCATTGTAATTTTTTGACATCTTTCTTACGACGCTAATATTTACGTCACTGAGGATTTGTACACATAATTGAATTTATGAATACCAGTGCTTGAAATGATGTATTTTAAAGTTCATCGAAAACTCAAAAACGTTTCTGTGAAAATCAACACGCAATTCCGCACTTCGAGAAACGCTAAAACGCCATTTTCTCAAAAACAGCAATTTTTTTCTTCTAACGTTTTGTATGGATAGTGTTACACTCCGATTGTAAAACCAGGGCCTTTCAAGGTCGCGAGAGGAACACTTACGCGGCCACGAAATCGCGAGCTTCGTTACATCATCATCATTATTATTATTATTAATTATTATTATTAATATTATTAATATTATTATTAATAATATTATTAATATTATTAATATTATTATTAATAATATTATTAATATTATTATTATTAATATTATTATTATTAATATTATTATTATTAATATTATTATTAATATTATTATTATTATTAATATTATTATTATTAATATTATTTATTATTATTTTTAAATTGAGGCTCCAGATTGGACGACAGCGTGCTTAGTGACTGACAGTTGGGCGTCCTCACCTCTGCTGGCCCTGCGGCTGCTGCCGTACGCGTCCATGCGAAGGCGCGACGTGGAGGCCACGCTGCGACGTCGCGACGACGACTCCCACGAAGACATCTCCCGCGCCGCGCCTCACCCACTGCAACGAAGCGAACACCCGCTCAAACGCACGTCAGGCAGCGCACGCCCACCGCTCCTCAAATTACACGCACAAACTAATACACACTACGTAAGTGGACATTCGCACAGATTTTCCTAAACCAAACTTAAGGAAACTTATCAGATAAAAATCATTACAAGATGTGGCATCAGTATTCAAAATAATTTCACATTATGTTCAAATAATGAGAACCAAGTTCTGCACCGGCACATAACAATGTAATACAATTTGGTTGAAACTCCAAATCAATGGGAAAATGTTCTTGAAAGTTTTTCAAATATCAGACACGTACTAGGCTAAACGAATTTCTCATGTAATGATCATTAACTTTTTTGTGCACATGCACGTCTATTTAATTATATTTAAACGTTTTGGGGCCCCCTGATACAATTCTATTGTAAATCTACTTAAAATATAACTTTGGGACCCTTCTGCACTTTGTTTCAGCTTTCTAATTAGAAACCCTTTCGAACAAAAACAAAGCTCAAAATTTGATAATGTCGTTGATTTAATAATGATCCAATGCTTAGTCATTTACACATGATGTCCAAAGAAAAGAAAAGAAAAGAATATATATATATATATATATATATATATATATATATATATATTATTAAAAACAGTATTTGTGATATTTTGAAAACTGTACCAGGAAGACATTCTGGCAGCTTACTCAAAGGTAATTATGAAAAACAGTGTAAAGCTGCAAACAAGTCACATCCATCTGTAGATCGACTCAGTAAATCATTTTCTTACAAGACGATAAACTACAACAAATAATGACAATGACAAAAACAGAGATGATAATGTCAATAACATTCATGATATTAAAACTGGAGTTTGAAACAGATGTCAATCAAATAAAACTAAATAATTTCAGAAAACAACACCAAAAAAGGCATTAGTGGATAAATTAGCCCAATCGCAGGTCAATAGGCAGCCATGAGCTGAGAAAGAAATTAGTGATGCCACGAAATGGCACCGGCTTTTTCCTACTAGTAAGTTTTCTAAATATTTTGGTCTGGGTTAGCTTATTTGGCTTGTCCCATCCTCTTGCCAGATGCCATCTATCTGCCCCAAAATACATTTTTTAAATACTTTTCTCTATTTTTCGATTTCCTAATAGTTGAACCGAAATATTACTTAAGAAAATATTATAGAAGAGTAAAACCTCGACCTAGTATAAGGAAATTTTCGTTGAGATATTTGGAGTCGTTTTTAAGAAAATGTTTAAGCGTTACAGTACTAGTAAATGCGAAAATTACAGCTTTTCACACAAAACTGTCGAGTTTTCGAAAGCTTGATGGGTGTAAAAAAATCGACGGAAATGGGCATATTAACTGCCGGTGAGATATTTCAATATACTTTTAAAAAACAACAACAAATGAATGTAGTCAACTGGCTTTTGTCATTTTATACAATGTATTTATATATATACAAAAATTTTATATATTGCACATATTTTACTCAATATTGGGCGAACAGTACTAACATTTTAAAAAATGTAGACGACCTTAATGAAAGAATTAATTGTGGAGAACAAATTTCATTTGACAAATCTCTATCTTTAATTTTGGAATTGTTGGAAGACACTAAAAATTGCAACTTTCACAATTTTTGAAAATTCAGAGTTAACAGTAAAAATTAGATATATGCCAGCTTTATAAGTGTATTTCACACTGCTCTTACAAGAAATTTAAAGAAAAAATTGGAGCCTTTTTGAGAAAATTTTGAAAATGTTCCAGGGGCTTCTTGTAAAGTACCCCTCAAAATTAAAGAATGTTATTCAAAATCGCAGCTTTGAGTGAGACCACATCGACTGGGCTGTGTCAGTTCGGGACAGACCCTACGCATAGTTTCGGCGCTAGTATTCAGACGACGGATCAACTCTAGTGCCTAAATTACTCATAGATTTTTTTTCCAAAAAGAATATTCCCCGGTCGATCTGGCCGGACTCGAAGCTTTACGATTTTCAAAAATCTCGGGAATACCTCAAACGAAGCCCCTGGGACATTTTTGAATATTTTTCAAAAACGGCTCCAAATGTTTTCTTTAAATTTCTTGTAACTATAGTGTGAAACATTTATAAAGATAGTAGAGTTCATATTTTCATGGCTTACGCTACAATTTCGGAAATTGCAAAAGTAGAAAGGGAAATTTTGGGACAGTAACACGAAGGAAGAAAGAAAGAATGAAAGAAAGAAATACAGCAAAAATATAAGGCACAAAGTAAATACATGTTATATTTTTTTTGAAGCAGTCAATAAACTATATGATCTGTCAAGTGAAACACAGTCACATATTCTTCTTCGAATAATTATTTGAACTTAGACTTTTCGATTTAATACTTAGTTGAATACGTTTCATACTTTTTATTTTGAATATTATTATTTTTTCACCCCCGGCACATTGTTATATGCAAAGGGATAAAAAATAAAAATTCATCTTTAATTTATAATTCTAATGTATTACTTTCTCACATATAGTTTATGCAGTATAGAAAAGTGATATAATGTTGCAGCAAAAAACAGCGAATTTTCGATAAAAAAAAAAAAGTCTCTTATCGTCGGGCCCTGGGAGCGAAAAATTGAATAAATCGTGTTCCCGTGTGTACATAAATTACTTCCTGTAACATGTGTGATCAAATTCCACTTAGTTTAGAGAGGTGTCACAACAGAATAGTGTCTCGCGTTATTTGCACTACATCATACAGACAAGCAAGGATAATTTCATTTACATTTTGAATGTCTATAACTACAGGCCATCCAATATATCACCTTATGAATGCATTCGAAACTGCGATTACTACGCAATGTCCAGCTTTTATACATCTGCATAGTCTTTACAACTTTAGTATAGTTGAGAGTACATTTTTTTAACGTAGACACATTGTATCTTTAACTAAATAAAGCCTCCTTATCTCCCTCCCATCCATGTCGCCGTCCAACAATGAAAATGAAATTCTTGGAATAACTTCTCAAAGTGCCAGCATTGTATGCCAACGCCGCGTTTGGTGGTAATGTTAGATTATCATAATAAATGTTGGTTCAAAAACATCGCACTCAATGCCTTCAATTACATTCAAAGCGAATTTTTAGGAGGGACAAATAACATTTTTCATAACCTTTTCAAAGACCTGTTCTCTAACAATTTTTTTCTCGTGGTCTGTAGTTGGAACACTTGTACACATTTCGTTAATTTCAAGCAGAAATTACGCCAAAATGACTAGCTTTTGGTTTTCAAAAAAATGTACTTGACCTTTTTTTAATGAGCTGGTTTCTAAGAGCAGATTTTATTTAAAATGAAAATCTTTATCTTCAACTTAGAAATTTTTAAAAGTTCAAATTTTGCAATTTTCGAGTACACAGACCTGCAAGTGAGGATAGCATAATTTTTGCCGTTCTTTGATACACACGAGGAGAAAAGTTAATAAAAAATGTGTGCCTCTTTTGAGAAAATAAAAATAGTTTAAAATAAAATTGCCTAGAGTTTCCGCAAATTTATACGAAATCTCAAATTTCCGAATTGTATTGAATTGAATTTGCCTTATTTTACGTGGCGAGACTCGGGCCATCAGGCCCGCTCTTCCGTCTGACCACGCAAATTTCGCTACGCTCTTTTCACCAACTAGCAGAGAAAGGAGGTATTTCTTGGGCGAGAAACAGGCGATTTGAATTTAGCTCAGAGGCGTCATTTAGGCTTGAGGCATGCAAGTAAATCTACGAACATGGGACAGCCGGCTTTACTTCCCCTCCGAAGGAAGGCGTACGAAGGATTTTTTCGCCCTTATAATTCCACGGCTTCATTCGGGTTTGAACCCGCCAACTTGGGTACAACAGTCCAGTACGCTAACCGTTACACCATCGCCGCCGCTTGTATTTATCGTACATGTCTTTATTTCGAGAAGTCTTTCAAGAGCAGAGGAAGATAAGGAAAAATCTCTATTATCAATACTTTGGTTTGGAAGACGCCGAAAACAAATTGAACTTTCGCATTTTTCAAAAAATCTGTAATTTTAACGAAAATGAGGTCTGCACTATTCTCTTAAGCGTCATCCGTGTATGTGCCTCAACACCGCAAGACCATAAGCAGGATTTTCACCCATTCCGCGATCGATCTGAGTGATGCCCCGGCTTCTTGAATATGAAAAGGATATTTTTTGGATCACATTATAAACAAACATTTCAAAATTTGCTCCATTTTTTTAAACTTTTTACTCTTGATAGACCAAGACGCATAAAGAAATGATCACATTTTCGTTGCATTCTCTAAATTATCGAAAATTTCACAAACATATCGCCTGAGTCACCAGTTACAGAAGATCTTGATATCATGATTGCAGTTAACCTCAAATGGGTACCTCACATGACCTTTCTAGGAAAGAAAGCACAAAAGCCATTTACACCTTGAGAAAGGCTTTTAATATGATCGGAAGCAATGCTTTAAAATGCTATTTAAAAGTAAATCTATCTAATAATTGATTTTGGGACAACCATTTTTTATCCTTATTTTAATATAAATGTTAACCTGCTACAAAATGTAGAGAGAAAATCCACACACATTCCAGTTGTTTTCAAACACCTAAGAACAAAGACCTGCTAAGCTAAGGATTTCATTGTCAAGTGAGGCAACCACATAATAATATCCACAATACAGAATTCTACATGAACACTGCAATGCTGAATTACAGGAAATATTTTGCTACTCTGCCAATTCACAACTGAGATGACTTTTCATAAAAACTATCAAAAAACAAGGCTGGTTCGATTCGAAAATGACCAAGGTAACAGTAGTGGATTTGTTAAATGGCCTTCCGAAAGTGTTAGTCTCAGCATCTTCTATTCTATATTTTAAAAACTTTTACAGTTTGTTTGCTATTAATCCTTATCATACATGAAGGAATCGACTTACAGCCAAAAGAATATGAAGAAGGATTAATTCAATAACTATGTTCCCCACAGAGCTCAAGAACACACGCA